TTGTTATTTTTTGTGTCTTTTATCGCCCAACCGACCCTAATTTTATTGCCAACCAAAAATAAAAAACAACTTTTTTTTCATTCCAATACCGCCGACTCGAACCTAGAACGTACCAACTCGTCATATAAAATGTTACCACACAAACAAATTTATGACCCTTGACAACTGATCGACCATGATGTCTTCTACTTGCATAGCAAACGAAAACAAACATCTGGTCTAATTTGTAAGTATCACCTTCGTAGTGTCATCTTGATTTTATAACCTTTTAAAATTTATGAACTCCATAAACTCATTCAAGTACAATATATTTGTGTTAGATACACTGGTCTCTAATATTTGTCTTTATGTAAGGGCAGACTATACTGCTGTTTCGTTGATCTTAAAGCTACATTTGATTTCAGCAATATAACAAATTTGATGTATTAACCTTGGACTGGCAATGTCAAAGGTATTTCTTTTTAGATTAATTAGAAATATGTACACCAATGTTCAATCATGTAAATCACTGCAAGGTGGCTACACACAACTGTTTGACTGTGTGAGCGGAATAAAACAGGGTTGCCAACTATCACCACTGCTATTTTCATTATATGTTAATGCTATTACTGAATCTCTTGGTGTTTAAGAAGATAGATGCATTGACATTGGTGTCTGTCAACTTTTCATGTTACTCTTCCCCGATGATATGTTACTTTTGCCAGCACTGTAGGAGGTTTACAAAATCATTGAATAACCCTGCAATATATTGTTAAAAGTGGACTTTAACCGTCAATATTAGTAAAACTAAATCTATGGTTTTCAGGCAAGGTGGTAGATTAACGAAATACGAGAACCATTATTTTATTGATACCCAACTGGAAATTGTGTCTTCTTACACGTATTTGAGTGTTCTTTTCTTATGTAGTGGGTCATGGCATATAACGCAAAAAAACGTGTCATATCCAGAAAGTGTTAAATATTTTACGTTCCAACTATCAAATTTCAGAAAATTAATTTTATCTGTTCTTTTCAACAGTTTTTACCCACAGGTATTACCAACTTCAGTTTTTGTTTCAGAAATATGGGGATTTCATCCCGCACTAAATGCAGTCAGAGTTTACAATACTTTCTTACAGCAAATTCTTTTTCTTGGTAGAAATGCACCGAGCTTAAAGGATGTTTATCTTTCAAAACTAGACAATATATAACAATTGTAAAATATTGGACACGGTTATTACACCAAAAGGATAATTAAATATTATACCACACATACTGTTATCAATATAAATTAGCAGAAGCTGGTAGACAATGTTGAGCCCATAATGTAAAACAATTGTTAAATAAATATGGTTTTAGTTATACGTGGCACAATCAGGATGTAAGTTGTTTAAAGAAGTTCTTATTATTTTAAACAAAGGTATATGTCAATAGATCAACAGACATTGTTTGAATTAATATGTTCGTTTCCCAAACGTAGTATTGTATGTCAAATGTCTAAAAAAGGAATAATGTTGTGAAGAATATTTGTCAGTTGTGAATTTTACTTCATATAGAATAGCCCTTACCAACTTGAGGTGTTCAAATCACAGATTGATGATAGAGGAAGATAGAAAACTTCATATTGCTAAAGATCAACGATTTTGTCATTTATGCATTATTTCCTGTATTGAAACAAAGTACCACTTATGGTTAATAATTATTTCCTTTTTGACAGATTTGATAAAATTGTTACCTGAATATAACATTGTATATCCAACATATCGTACATTTTATCAGCTATTATCATCCCAAAACCCAGATGTTATTAATCGTTTAGCAAAGTATGTATTTCTTGCCATGAATAAGAAATAATCAGTTGCAATTGTAAAGACGAATATGAATGGCACCCTCTATACATGGTGCATACATGTTGTACTACTTGTATAATGAACCGGTGGCAACCTTAGTGTAACAATCTCTCTCCCTCTCTCACCCCCCCCTCTCTCTCCCTCTCTCTTTCTCTCTCTCTTTCTCTCTCCCTCTTGATATCGATTGATCTACAAAGATTTCATTATTTAATATTTTATTAATAGATTAACAGGTGTTATCTAAGATATTTAGGGTGAGTTTATCATTAAAAGAATGTGTTTACCTTCCTCTCAGTCGCTGCCACAAGTTTAAAGTCCAGAGAACGCGAGAAATTGTAATAACAAGTACAACAAGTGAGAATCAAGAGCACTATTAAGAAACTTTTGTCTTTGTTAAGTTTTGTTTTTGTTTGTTTTATTTTATTTTTTAAATTTTGTGTGAGCACTCCGTATATTGTGAACAGTGCCAGCTTGAATGTCTGGACACAATGTTTTTAAAAGAATAAAATAGGGTGTCCTTAAAACAACCCCGTCTAAATATAAATCAAGCAATCCAAATATTTGACTGTTGACTATGACGGGAATGTGATGAATATCTCGTTAACCACATTACCCACATATGTGAAATTTTGGATTTGGCTTTGCTAATGATTTCTTCAAAATACAATGGAAACATTGAGCACCGAGAATATAGTTAGGCTGACTACCTTCTGGCCGGCCCTCGTACTCCTCTCAACCGGCTATCAAAGCATACCGGGACCCGGGTTCGATTCCAAACATGGGTACACTGTGTGAAGCCCATATCTGGTGCCCTCTGTCGTGGTTTTGCTAAACGCAGCGTGAATTTAGACTCATTCACTCACTCACTCGTAGGTTTGTATCCCAGATTAGACCCAAGTGGTAAACGTCAGAAACCAATGTTATGTCGGGCATTCCTTCCACAACAAACTGACACAATTCTGAAAAAAACCTCAATTTTGCATGTATCGTTGGGATAGTCTCCAGTTGGATCATGCCTGCTTGTGGAAAGACCTGCTTGTAGAAATTATAGGATCGGGAAGTTGTGATGCGTGAGCTGGATAACACTGTCATCGTGGAACACGTTGCCGGTGCATTCCGCCAGTCTTTGACTGGTCCTGATTAGATTTTGATTTTAACGGCTGTCGGGATAAGTATCATAATACATGTACTGTATTTACCCCAATAACTAGTACATTATATTTGCTGAAGTGTCGCTATGTTGTATGCAGTTTGTTTGGAATGAGTGAGTGGATATGTTTTATGCTGCTTTTGCAGTATTCTAACATAATCATCGCGGGGGACACAAGAAATGCACACTCTGTACCCATATAGGATATCGGACCCACCCGTCGTTGTCAAACAAACGTATAATCACTTGGCTACAGCATCACCTTACACATAGAATTATATTTCATGTTAATGACTGTCTGTTATCTGAATATTAATAACTTGAACTGTTTCTAAGACAGGTATTTGAAATGTGAACGATTTTATGTTGCGTTCTGTTTCTTAAGAAGTGGGTTCTGCTATCTAGTGTGGTAGAAAATACGCTTCACTGAATTCATGTCAAAATAATAGAACATCAAACATTTTGTCAACAGAAACATCAACATGTGGACTCTGATGTACCTCCTCTTGATGTTCACGACCTGTTGCCTCACTCAGAGTAATGTTGAGCAGATAAAGGAAAATATGAAATGCTATGCCAAGGACTATGTTATCCAATACTATGTGCCTTATGTTAGCACACAACCCGATGAAGCTAAGCTGAAGCTGTTGAAACACCTCGAGGACAGTCTGCAGCTTATTACTAGTACGAATGACAAGGAGGGGCTGAGGGATGGCCACGCTGCCAAAAAAGTCTAAGTAAAGTTTCCAAAGACATTGAAGATCAACTTGGACACAAGATCAGAGGTTTGTCCAATAAGGTTGAAAGTAACGACGGCCTGCTTGTCATCGATGCTCAGAATCTAATGAAGGCTGTTTCCAGAGATGTAGAGGGCAGTCTGGATCAAAAGGTTAGAAGTTTGTCGAATTAGGTTGAGAGTAACGACGGCCTGCTTGTCATCGATGCTCAGAATCTAATGAAGGCAGTTTCCAGAGATGTAGAGGACAGTCTGGATCAAAAGGTCAGACGTTTGTCGAATAAGGTTGACAGTAACGACGGCCTGCTTGTCATCGATGCTCAGAATCTAATGAAGGCAGTTTCCAGGGATGTAGTGGACAGTCTGAAGCACAAGGTCAGACGTTTGTCGAATAAGGTTGACAGTAACGATGGATTGCTTGTCTTCAATCCTCAGAATCTAATGAGGGCAGTTTCCAGGGATGTAGAGGACAGTCTCACAGACATCAAAGCGATCATTGATCATGAACATAAAGAAGTAACTGATGATGCCAAACTCTATAAAGTGTTGAAAAAAGAATTGTTAGCCTGGATACAATATAATGTTAAACACGACAATATGCCGCTTCATAACCTTGACCTCAATAATCTGATTAATTGGTTGACACTGGTGCATGACTCTCGGAGAAACATCAGCAAAGGAGCCGATTCCTTTTACCAAGACTGGAACACATCGCTGCCCATCTTGAGTGATCTTTTCTTGTCCCTTGATCCGTTGAAACCATTTTCAACAAATGTATCCCTTTCCCTGATGGGTTTGACTGATAGCTTCATGAACCTGTACTGGCCTTTCCGTCGAGATATCAACCTAATGAACCAGATATTAGCAGTCAAAGGTTTCAGGGGCACAGAGGTTTCTGAGAGCGAAGCCAAGAAAGCGTTCTTTCAGGACATCCAACAAATTCAACCCATTCATCTCCCTGTGAAGGAGGATGAGATTGTACTCGTCTTTAATGATGAGGACATTGCAAATTGGTTGAACGTCACAGGAGTTATGTCCCTTTCACCGTCCTACATGACTTCAAAGAAATACATATTCACAGGGGAAGAACAAAGGAAGATATCGACCACTGCACATGCAGCTTTCAGAATGATCAATAACACTCACCCAGAACTCTATGACTCAATGACTCAGATGATATCCTGCATTGCTTTTATAAACAGGAACACAAAATTAACTTAGCTGGAGGAGTTCGTTCAGCCCTTGGTATGTTTGGATGGACCCAAGTGTTGGAAGGGAATGGAGTGTTCCTTCATGGCTGAGCAGATAGTCCACGAGTTCACCCACAACGCACTCAACTATGCAGAATTTGTCCATGGAACGTACAACGATAAATCCGCCCTGGGAAAAGCTGAGGTGAAGTCGGCCATTCGTCTGGTTCCTCGTCCCTACGATAAGTCTCTGCATGCAGCTTACGTGTCAGCAGGACTGGTAACCTTTCATTCCAGGACTGGCTATGTGGAAAGAGCAGCACAACTAGCGGAAACTCTTCCCAAGCCGTCCGAGATCTGGCAACTGTGGATGCGGAGAAGCATGTGCTTGATGGGTCGGGCAGAGCAATAGTCAAGTTCCTCACTGACTACATGTACCTCACAAGACTCTGAATGTTTCATACTGACTGTATAAGTACTGTCCAATAAACAATCATGGGTTTTATACTGATTTATTGTAAAGCTTTACCAAAATGAGTTTAAGAATGGTGTGTTGTTGATATTTGTCAGTGCATGCCATATATTCACTTCTCTCTCTGTACTAGATGATAGTAAATACCCACAAGCACACTAGTCAGTGACATCTCAGCAGCCTTTCATTCTTATCAAATACCCACAAATGGAATAGTGTTCCACTGCACGTTGATATTCAGTCCCTCCAAGGAAACAGTAGCCGGGTGGCCTATTCCCTAGTTATGAACTGGCCAGTGATTTTACAATCACCATGGAACCTGTATTCACGGGGAGTGGGTGACAGTGAACGAGGACGTGATATACAAGATAGACAATGTGCATACAAAGGATGACCACACACTGATTAAGAGAGCTATATGTATTTGGAAGTATTAGAGAAGTACAGGAGCATTGAAGTTCGGAGCGACTCACATCACGTCAAACAAGGAGCTACCGTGGTCAGTTAAACCTTTTAAGAAATTACGAGTTGATAGATGATTTGAAAATGATTCTTGAACAAGTAATGTCATTCGGGTTTTGTAAAAATCATAATTGCCAACGAGTACATCAGGTGTACGGGGTTGTGGACAATGGACTAACCGTGAGAGGCATCTGCCTATTAGTGGCCAGGAAGAAACCTGGAAAGTGTGTACGTTTGACTTTACCTGCACCCAGTTCGCATCATTCGTATTGAACAAGTATAACCAGGGGTCTATTTAATGAAATGATACCTACTTGCACCCATTGCAACCTAAGGCAATCACCTTGTTGCACCAAACAAAAACAGGTTGCACCTGCTGTTTAATGTAAAATCTGATGCACTGCTTGAGTTGTGGTAAAGACTGTCTAGAACAGCATTATAACACAAGAAATCTGTTTTTATCTTACATCCTAAACTTTCATGAACTGTTCCTACAATAATCAGTCACCATTCCAAGTCAGTTCCTCATCGTTCTGTTTTCCAGCTGAAGTTCTTTGAACACAAAATATTAACATCCACTGGGAGACAATGCCATGTGTTTTAAAAGAGGAAATGTAAAGGTAAGTAGCTGAAACTATTACTTCATGTAATAGTCCAAATAATAATAATGGTCAATCTTTCCCCAATTGTTGAAAGTGTCCTGCACATGTACACAAACAACAAGTGTTAAGGTGGGGCTCGAATGAACCAGCTAATGTTACACCTTCGAAAGATTAGAATGAGTGAGTTAAAATTAAACGTCACCGCGGCAATGTTTCAGCCATATAGTGACTAGAAATGTTTGGCATACACAATAATTTTAAATTGTTAAATAATCAGTCATCGAAGGACTGTAAAATAACTAGAGTATCACAGATGGTGTCTAAAACTAGCACGTAAATCTAAAACTATTTTAATTACGAAGGCAATACAAGATGAAAACAGGCTAAAGGTCGCCAACAACCGATGGTAGATCACCATACTGTGGGACCATGGGGACTTGCTGCTGCTCCCTGCATGGACCCTAGCTGGATTTACACCATCACTTCAGCCGCTGGTAACTGCAGGAAAATTTAGCCGAAATTGAAAATAACAAAAATACTAGGTTTAAAAAATTGGAAGTTTTGGGACTTACGTACCTTGTCAGGAGGACTCAAAAGATTAGTTAATGCTACACCTTCAACATGACAAAAGAATGAGTGGGTGTTTATGGTTCAGTATACGTTCAACGACCGCTATACTGGATGGCGAACGGTTTGAATTAAACCGCACGTCTCTGAATACCTGACAGATGTACTGTATCATTTACTTTGAAATAATTTTCAGAATGAATCTAACAAAAAATATTCTTGATGGTTACTTTTGGTATATTTTGTATCATCTTCCTAGAAACAGATGCGTTTCAATCGAACTCTTTAACTATTCTGGGATCATTATTGGTGTCGTTCCACAGGTGTAGTGAATGATAATTCGCCTCTCACATAACAAGAATTAATATAAGGATCTTCTCAGGTTGTCACGTTCAAAATTGACGATGGAAAATATGAACATAAACTACTCGTGAGGAAGGAACTTATTATCTGTCCCTCGTGAAGTAAATTAATATGTCAGTCGCCAAGACTCGTGACTTCCAAACTGAATTCATTCTTCACAGAAAATACGTCGTTCCTCGTCACTCGCAAATGACTGTCTACATATTGGCCGACGTCAAACCTTCAATATACTTGTAATGTTTCACTTTCGTTGTACCGGGTAATTCCAGACCATCTGAACTGGGTTACGTTCAACACCCAATATAATGGGTAACATAAACGCCTCTGACATACTCGGTAATTTAACGCCTGACATATACCTTGTGGTCGGTATTGTGACACCTCCCATATTCCCGATATAATTAAACTTACACTAAGTTAAGGTGGGGGATCGAATGTTCTCGCTTATTATTGCAGGTTACTGGATGGCATCACATCATAACGTGAGAGCCATAATACAGAAGTTTATTGGATAATGTAACGACTAGGTAATGTTACTCTAGGTAGCGTTATATCCCCAATACAGTAGGTTACTGGATAATGTCACGTCTCTGCTACTCTTTGTAGCGTTTTATCCCCAATACAGTAGGTTACTGGATAATGGCACGTCTCTGTTATTCTAGGTAGCCTTTTATCCCCAATACAGTAGGTGACTGGATAATGTCACGTCTCTGCTACTCTAGGTAGCGTTTTATCCCCAACACAGTAGGTGACTGGATTATGGCACGTCTCTTTTACTCTAGGTAGCCTTTTATCCCCAATACAGTAGGTTACTGGATAATGGCACGTCTCTGCTACCCTAGGTAGCGTTTAATCCCCAATACAGTAGGTTACTGGATAATGGCACGTCTCTGTTACTCTTGGTAGCGTTTTATCCCCAACACAGTAGGTTACTGGATTATGGCACGTCTCTTTTACTCTAGGTAGCCTTTTATCCCCAATACAGTAGGTTACTGGATAATGTCACGTCTCTGCTACCCTAGGTAGCGTTTAATCCCCAATACAGTAGGTTACTGGATAATGGCACGTCTCTGCTACCCTAGGTAGCGTTTAATCCCCAATACAGTAGGTGACTGGATTATGGCACGTCTCTTTTACTCTAGGTAGCCTTTTATCCCCAATACAGTAGGTTACTGGATAATGGCACGTCTCTGCTACCCTAGGTAGCGTTTTATCCCCAATACAGTAGGTTACTGGACAATGACACGCCCCCATTACTCTAGGTAACGTTATGTTCCTATTACTGCAGGCTACTGGATAATATCACGTCCCCACTACTCTAGGTAGCGTTATGTTCCTATTACAGCAGGTTACTGGATAAGGTCACGCCCCCACTACTCTAGGTAACGTTATGTTCCTATTACAGCAGACTACTGGATAATGTCACGCCCCCACTGCTCTAGGTAGCGTTATGTTCCTAATACACCAGGTTACTGGATAACGTCACGCCCCCCTCTATTCTAGGTTGCGATAAGTTCATAATATAGCAGGTTACTGGAAATTGTCACGCCCCCACTACTCTAGGTAACGTTATGTTCCTATTACTGCAGGCTACTGGGTAATGTCACGCCCACACTAATCTAGGTAGCGTTATGTTCCAAATACAGCAGGCTACTGGATAATGACACGCACCCCACTACTCTAGGTTGCGTTATGTTCCAAATACAGCAGGCTACTGGATAATCTCGAGCCCTTACTATTCTACGTTGCGTTGAGTTCCTAATACAGCACCCACATGGGCACAATGTGTTAAGCCCATTTCTGGTGTCCCCCGCCGTGATATTGCTGGAATATTGCTAAAAGCGGCGTAAAACTAAACTCAGTCAGTCAGTCAGTCCTAATACAGCAGGTTACTGGATAAAGTCACGCCCCCACTACTCCAGGTAACGTTATATCCCCACTACATTAACCATAAACTCAACCCTTACATTAACCTGAAAACAGCAACAGTACTTGTGATCACTCACTACGTCTGTGGACATTTCTTGGTTTGTATTGTCAGTGTCACTGTCAGTGAACACTCGATGAGTGGAGGCACAACACAGCCATAATCTGCAAAAGTGTTTAGGCAACAATAACAACATTGTGTTTACAGATGTCATGAGATTTCACGCACCTGTGTTTTGATTGATAACGATATAGTAACACGGCATCTAAAAATGCGCATGACATAATGTACCTCGCAATGACGGTCTTTCAAATATTTGTTATGATCATGTCCTCCAAAACATTGTGTAATCTGATCACAGTAAAATTCATCTTTTTCTTCGGAAACAAAAAACCGTTAACGTAACACGAGGTAAATGGAAATGGACTTACAACCCATGGATGAAATACAAACTGCAATGATGAAAAAAATTGGTTAAATAAATATATTGTGTTCGATTACGACAAAAACACTTTTTGACATCACCAGGAACATACTGCTGGATATTTGTATATCGTCTCCTTGAAAACAGTGTTACAAAAGTACAATGACGAAGTGGGTAAGAATATATTGGATTACGCCTCCAGCAATGGTCAACCAAAATGTACGAAGTCCTGGATGGTCGAGGCAAACTAGTGATTAATATTATGAGCAACGATAAAGTGTCGGTGTATAACGATACACAACAGACTGCATCTGTTGATGCATTCGGATGCATCCCAACAGACCACGTACACTGTAGAAAATTCAGCATTCAGCACAACCGAGGACATAATTTATAAGAGCCGCTCTTCGGACCCAGGAACTATTATCACTGTTCACTGAGTTGTGTCACAGCCGTGCCCAGATCAGCATATCGTAAGTTCAAATCCCGTCTTTCTTCTGAGATGATCATTAATTTGTCCCCAACCTCATTAACTGGAGCTATTTTTATTTTAATATTATAGGAAAAAAATGTCATAAAAACGGATTTGGTACGTCATTATCTTTTGGAAAAAAGAACTGCTACAGATGTATACCATACCATTGCTGGTGGGTTTTACTGATCCAATTTTGACCTGGGTCATATATCTTTCACTGATTAGCTAACATTGTAACCATATTGTAAGCATATGCCCAGAGAGAGGTCGATCCCTGGCATTTTACCAGCAAGCGGTAAAAGAGAGTTCTTGATGCCTGTGGGAAGACATGAGTTGGATAAAACAAGACCTGGTCCGCCCAAAGTCAGGAGCATGTGGTTCGGAAGGGTATTCATGTTTAACTGTATGGTCATATCATGGTTAGCTGGCACAATGAACCCGGCATTTGTTCAGTCTACGCACAATCAGGTATGTGTAAAAGATACACTGTCGTTTCATGTGACCTAAATTATGTTATCTGCTGTTAGATTATTTCCAGAAAACACTTGAATGGCGCAGTTTCTGTTTACTCCTCGTGGTGGGAATCATGCATATGATGAGGATAAACAGGATCTACTCTGTCGTTTACCGTCGTCAACACAGTATAAATATGACTTGTGCAAGGAGCCCTTCATACCACACTCCAACACCTATTCAGCTCAACACATAACAAGACCAGGTAAGTTGTGACAATACTATTCTCAACTCGCTATGAAACCATGTTCTATCCTGTAGGCTTGACACGCCGTGGACCTGGGTTCGATTCCCAACATGGGTACACTGTGTGCAGCCTTTGGGATTGGGTTCACTTAAGTGAAAACCAAAATTATGTCGGGCATTCCTTCCACACCAAACTGGGGCGGTAGCCTATCCTAGTGCTTAAAGAGTTCGTTCGTCAGACCCCGGTTCGATTTTCTACATAGGTACGATGTGTGAAGCCCATTTCTGATGTTCCACGTCGTGATATTGCTGGAATATTGCTAAAAGCGGAGTAAAACCATACTCACTTACTCCGCACCAAACTGACAAAATTCTGAAGAACCGTTCCGAACATTAAAAGCAACCTCACTTATGCATGTATCGTTGGGATAGTCTACAGTTGGATTATGCCTGCTTATGGAAAGACCTGCTTGTAGAAAATATAGGATCGGCAAGTTATGATGCTTGAGCTGAATAACAATGTCATCGCCGGTGCATTCCGCCAGTCTTTCACTGGTCCTTTTTAGATTTTGATTTTGATGGCTATCGGGATAATTGCTATAATACAATATTTCTCCCCTTATCTAATATATTATATTTGCTGAAGTTTCGTACTGTCTTATACAGGGAATTTTGGAGTATTCTAACATAATCACCGCGGGGGAGACCAGAAACTCACACTGGGATATCGAACCTGGCCGTCGTTGTCACACAAACGCTTCAATCACTTTGCTACCACATCATCTTTCACACACAATTGTATAAGACAGGTTTAAGACAGACGAAGCCCTACCGCCGTCTTTTAAGAGCACACTCTTTAACTAAAAAGTATGTCTGTTATCTGAATATAAATAACTTGAACCGTTGAAGACAGCTATTTGAAATGTGAACGATTTTATGTTGCGTTCAGTGTCTTAAGATGTGGATTATGTTGATGTAGTTGCAAAAATACCCTTAACTGAATTGATTTCAAAATAACAGAACTTTACATATTTTGTCAACAGAAGCATCACCATGCTGACTCCGATGTACCTCCTGCTGATGCTCACGACCTGTTGCATTACACAGAGTACTGTCGAGGAGATAAAGGAAAACATGAAATCCTATGCCAAGGGCTATGTCATCCAATACTATGTGCCTTATGTTAACACACAACCCGATGAAGCTAAACTGAAGCTGTTGAAACACCTCGAGGACAGTCTGCAGCTTATTACTAGTACGGATGACAAGGAGGGGGCTGAGGGGTTGAAGTTTCCAGAGACATTGAAGATCAACTTGGACACAAAATAAGAGGTTTGTCGGCTACGGTTGACAGTAACGACGGGCTGCTTGTCTCCAATCCTCAGAATCTCATGAAGGCAGTTTCCAGAGATGTAGAGGACAGTCTGGAACATAAGATCAGAAGTTTGTCGTCTAAGGTTGACAGTAACGACGGCCTGCTTGTCTCCAATCCTCAGAATCTCATGAAGGCAGTTTCCAGAGATGTAGAGGACAGTCTGGAACATAAGATCAGAAGTTTGTCGGCTAAGGTTGACAGTAACGACGGCCTGCTTGTCTCCAATCCTCAGAATCTCATGAAGGCAGTTTCCAGAGATGTAGAGGACAGTCTGGAACATAAGATCAGAAGTTTGTCGGCTAAGGTTGACAGTAACGATGGCCTGCTTGTCTCCAATCCTCAGAATCTCATGAAGGCAGTTTCCAGAGATGTAGAGGACAGTCTGGAACATAAGATCAGAAGTTTGTCGGCTAAGGTTGACAGTAACGACGGCCTACGTGTCTGAAATCCTCAGAATCTCATGAAGGCAGTTTCCGGAGATGTAGAGGACAGTCTGGAACATAAGATCAGAAGTTTGTCGGCTAAGGTTGATAGTAACGACGGCCTGCTTGTCTGAAATCCTCAGAATCTCATGAAGGCAGTTTCCAGAGATGTAGAGGACAGCCTGGAACATAAGATCAGAAGTTTGTCGGCTAAGATTAACAGTAACGACGGCCTGCTTGTCTCCAATCCTCAGAATCTCATGAAGGCAGTTTCCAGAGATGTAGATGACAGCCTGGAACATAAGATCAGAAGTTTGTCGGCTAAGGTTGACAGTAACGACGGCCTGCTTGTCTCCAATCCTCAGAATCTAATGAGGGTAGTTTCCAGGGATGTAGAAGACAGTCTCACAGGAGCCAAAGCGGGCATTGATCCAGTAAACAAAGAAATAATTGATGACGCCAAACTCTATAAGTTGTATCTTGGTAGCATGGTTTCAGTATCATGTTGAACACGACAATATGCTACGTCATAACCTTGACCTCGATAATCTGATTGATTGGCTGACACTGGTGCACGACTCTCGGAGAAACATGGGAAAATGGGAAATGCTGAGGTGAAATCGGCCATTCGTCTGGTTCCTCGTCCCTACGATAAGTCTCTGCATGCAGCTTACGTGTCAGCAGGACTGGTAACCTTCCATTCCAGGACTGGCTATGTGGAAAGAGCAGCACAACTAGCGGAAACTCTTCCCCAAGCCGTCCGAGATCTGGCAACTGTGGATGCGGAGAAGCATGTGCTTGATGGGTCGGGCAGAGCAATAGTCAAGTTCCTCACTGACTACATGTACCTCACAAGACTCTGAATGTTTCATACTGACTGTATAAGTACTGTCCCAATAAACAACTATTGGGTTTATATCATATTGATGTGTTCTTTGTGTAGGGCCATTCGGATGTTAGAGACGTTTTGGCGATTGAATGAAATCTGCTCTTTTAAATACTTCTCAATAAATGACAGATGTTCAGTGGAGGCTGCCTGTTTACAAAATAGTGCTGTATCTGATTGTATACAGTCGAACACCGTTGTCTCGATATTCATGGGACCAAGAAAACATATCGAGCTATCTTAACTTCCAGACATCTGAGCAGGGCATATCATCACATATCACTATGAAAGAAAACAAAACGCTTCTCAGTATGTTTTGATTCAAAACTATAATCCGTTATCAGTAGTGTTTAGTCGTAACAGTGAGTACTTCCTAATTAGTTCCTTCTTAATTAATCCTAATTAAATAACAAACATGTGACACCTTCAACTCAATTAGCCCTGATTAGTTAACACTACCGCATCCCTTTGATTCATGCTGCACCATGTGTAAACATGTGAAACAATCTCAGTTCAGAGGGATACTTGCCCATGAAAGGTTGGTGAATATCGAGATTCTTTGCAAATATCGAGTTAAAGGGTAATTTTGCTTGTTGGGACCATGAAATTATATCGAGATATCCGAAATAGCGAGACATCCGTATCGAGTTAAAAGAGCTTGAATAATGATAAATTATGAAGGATTTTGCCGGGACCGAGATGTTTTATTGAGACAACCGAGATATCGAGTTATCAGAGTTCGACACAACGGTGGTCGACTGTAGATACTGTGAAATCATTTATCAAAAAAGTCTTGAAACTGTTGTCTGTCTGTCATACAGTGGATTAAGCTAGTCAGTTGTCACTGGTATAAAACACTCACTGAATAAGAGGAAACAATACTGTGAAAAACGTATTCTGTCCGAGCCAGCTGCCGTCCAATGTCTGGGTGCCCTCCGTGGAAACGGTGTAGTTGTTCCCACTGACAGCCTAAACATAACCATTGTGTATGTCCATCATAATATTATTTTCAGCTTGACTCTTACACTTGAAGACGAGTCATCGTATGTTCAATATTTTGTAGAAGGATATATATTGCTGGGTCCGACAAATGTCCCACGAGGTGAGGTGAGGTGAGGTTAAATTGGGTTTAACGTCGTGCTTGAGAATATTTCGCTCATATGACGACGTGCATGCGTGTGTATGTGTATGTGCGGCTGCTTGTACTAGCCCAGACTTAAGCTGGTTTTATAGTGCTAGCCCACTGAGATACCATGCCGCAGTGAAGCATGAATACCCCACTCCGACGCATTATACTGACTCCGTGCCGACCAGTCCTTGTTGTACCCATTAATGCCGCAAATCCCTGGAAGATCAACCCTACTTTTGAATACTGACACACCTTTTCAATATTTACAGTAGCTGAGAATGTAAAGGATCTGTTTGAGCTTAATCTAAGAAATAAACCAACATCACTTGAGTCAAACCATCTTATATTTGAACATTTTCGACTACTATCCCACACGAAGGACATTAGGAATTATTCATTCCTTGGCACATGTTTTTTGTTTTACAACACCTGGTGAAAATAGATACAGTTAACATATATACCTTCAGGGGATCGGGGAAAGTTTGAAATGAAAGTAAATGACATCTGGAGTTTACGTAGAAAACGAGATGACATGATCGACAACATCTGTGTACAATTTGGGGGTAAGTTGACACCCAGTAGGTTGTGCCCCTTTTTGCTCAGCTGCCTCTTTGTTCATATGAATCGGAATTTGTGCAAGGATTGGAAAAGTGTAGACATGGACATTTGGCCAAGGTGTATAACCTACCCTTCAGGTGTATCATTCATCTGATAGCGTTCAATAACCACCAAATTACCGAATCCCTTCCATCGTCTTGGTCCGAGCATGCTACATTGAAACCGTCCGTTTTAAAAGGAACGGCCAAAGACGATAGGAACGCGGAGGAGCTCGACTAAACGCACCCCCGATCTCTATGATCACTAGAAAATATGTTTCTGTCTCCATATGGAATATTTCAGGTATATAGAATAAAGAAAACGCTATATTTTTTCATGATTGTGTGAACAATTTGGATATGTTTCACCTGTCAGACGCATGCACCAGTAAGGAGAATTCTCACCTTTACCCAAATCACAAATGTGTATTTCTAAAAACGTGTTTTTAAAGAATCCCAAATGTTGTTTTATTTCATCTGTAATCAGTCCCAAGATACTCACAAATGATTTTAAACTGAATACGCTGAGGAAATATGAAGGACCTCAGAAACGTCAGACCAAATTATCCCCAGTGAAGTGAAATGTAAGCACAGAGTTTAAGTTCCAAGTTGATTAGTTACATATAAATATACTGTTTTGAAATTCGTAGCTTTACACAACATTACCGCAAACCCTTGCCAACCGCACGTAAAATCTTTAAAGCAAGTCCGCTAGATTGTCCAAGAATATACTCAATTGGACACATGAGAGCCCTTATGTTAGAACGCGCATGCGTGTATTTATATCTGTCGCTGTTCATAACCCTATCCTTATTAAGAAATTCAATTTAGGTAACGCAATTCTGTTAGGTATGTTCTTTATAATGTCAAAGTGCCGATATATATAATTATCATGATTTTTTTAAACAAGCACACAATGGTGTGACCGATTTAAGCATTGGGGGTTATTTTTATCAAAGTACCCCGAGTCTAACGCGCCTTCTGTTTGGTTTGTCGTATTTTCGCACATTATTTCAACATTCATCGATAGGGGGACGAGGCTTCTTGGAGGTTACGGAAAGAGGCGAGTGGTAACGAATGCATACCAGGCATTCGTGACCAAATCGTGTTATTCCAGGACAAGCCGAATAGCGACTCGTGCCCTTGTGGAAGGATTTCATATTGGCGTATGAACATCAGAACTACTTCAAATAGGAACGATAACTCTATTCCTGTTTGATTCAAATGGTACTTAATATCACCGAAGTACTCATACATTGTATTGCTGTTTTTGTTTTTGCTTAATTATTTTAAAGAATTAAACCGCCTTGATACATGTAAAAGAAGGAGAAAAACATATTTCTTAAAGACATATTCTGACGTAATTATTACCAGATGTTCACCTTATATTTCCAATTATATTTCTGAAAAGTGTTTAATAATCACAAATGGGATTTGTTTTATTGAATATGCAAATAGATTTTGTAAAAATACACAGCTGCATTATATCCCAGTGCAGAAACTAAAAAATAACTACACACGTGTTACCTTGCTTTCATACCCCAGGTGGAATTTTGAGTGAATTCGCTGAAAAATATATGAATGACCAAAAAAAAAGCCAGACGAAAATATTTCCAGAGATGTGAAATATATGCCCAATATTAAAGATTATATTGATTAGTTACATAGAGATATAATATCATTGTTTTGAAACTCGTAGCGATTGATAATTACATTTCCTAACACTGTTGGAAGCGCACGTACAATCACCGAGTCAAGCCCGCAAGATCGTCAGAAATACACTCAGTTGGACCAGTGAGAGCCGTTATGTCAACAAAGGCACGTGCGTGTATTTGAATCTCTCACCGTCAATCGCATGATTCTTATCAAAAACGTCACATTAGACAGCACAATATCTGTTAGCTACGTTCTTAGTACTTTCAATATGACGACAGATATGTTTCATGATTTTTTAAACAATAACATAATTCCATAAACGATTTGAGTAGTCGGGATTATTTTTATCAAAGCACGGCAACCATTACGCGCGTTCTGATTGGTTTGTCGTATATTCGCACATAACAAGCATCGAGAGGGGGGACGAGGTTTCTTGGAGGTTACGGAAAGGGGCGAGTGGTGACGAATGGCATACCAGGGTCACGAGGCAACTCATTCGTCACCACTCGCCCCATTCCGTAACCTCCAAGACATTCGTCACCACTCGCCCATTTCCGTAACCTCACTATTCGGCTTGTCCCGGAATAACACGAGTTGGTCACGAATGGAGGCAACTATTTCCTACCGTTACTACGCGAAATAGTATAAGGGAAGCAACTCCTGTCGATTTGAAGGGGCAGTCACCTACTTCGCAGTCAAAAGTCGAGAAATTGGACCAAACAATCCAGTGACTAACGTCATGAGCATCGATCTACGTAAATGGCATTAGATGACATGCATCATCCACGTCAGCGAGTATAACCACCCAAACATGTCAGTCGCCTCTTACGAAAAGCATGGGTAACTGAAGATGCCATCGGGATATTTACAGGAATATTATCAACGAGAGTGTGAACACATTTACCTTTGTGTGTGATCGGAGCGCAACCATTCTTTTCATGATGAAATATAAAATATCAAACCTGCAAACAGCTCTATATTCATACATCTGGTGTGAATGCGTGTACGACATGTTTAAAATTGTTATGTAAGGACAACTGAGAAATAGCGACATTTGTTTCAAAGCAACAATATTTAACACCAACAGACATAATGATTTGTGAATCAGAACAGATTTAAGGGGTTTTCTCATCCTGAAAACATATGCGTTATCTGAATACATATACCCACGTGAATGTGTTTTTGTGTGTGTGCGTGTGTGCGTGTATACAAGGATGGGGGTCAGGTTAGTGACTGAGTCAGTGGATGGAATGATGGGTATGTGAGTGAGTGACTGAGTGAGTGACCGAATATGAGAATTAATCGTAAGGTAGAGGAATTATGTAATCCATGTAATGCCGTTTCTGCTACTGCACCGTCGAGTGCTTGAATACACGAATATACATTTGATCACTCGATGCTTTTTATCTCTCGACATCGCATATTTGATTTGTTTGTTTGTTGTTTAACGCTGCACTCACCAATATTCCGGCTATACGGCGGCGGTCTGTAAATAATCGAGTCTGGACCAGACAATCCAGTGATCAACAGCAAGAGCACCGATCTACGCAATTGGGATACGGTGACATGAGTCAACCAAGTCAGCGAGCCTGATCCCGATAGTCGCCTCTTACGACAAGCATGAGCTGACGACATTTGGTCTTAAAGAA